GTAGGCAGCGACAAATCGGCGCAGTATATGGCTGCAAACTGCTCGGGTGTGATAACGCGCTCCTTTGCATTCCATACAAACACGTCGTGCAGCCGATGGTCGCCAACTTCCATCTCTACGCGGATAGGCACGAGCATCTCCTCCTGCTCCGACAGCCACGCTGCCTGGTCGTCGCGTAAATGCCAATGTGCTGTGCGCCGCCGTGCGCGCCGCTGCATGTTTTCATATACTGGCTGCAGTCCAATGCCACTTACTAGATCCTGTCCCTTACTGCCCTCACCGCCAGCCTCGCTGCCATGCTTGACTGAGCTAACCTCGGTTTCAAATGCCGATTCGGCATCCTCATCTGGACCATACTCGTTTTCTGAATCAGAGCTCCATTCGCGAAGATTGCGACGACTGCCTCGCGTTGAACGCGTTCTCGTGGACATGCCAATACTGCCACTGCCTCCTAAAGCATTCAAACCACTAAGACCCGCGCCACCATTACCACTACCACCGCCACCACCGCCAAGTGCTGATGGCACAAGCATAGCTGAATCGCCCTCCTTCAGTCGCTCCAAATAAGCACTGCCAAATAGCACTCCCGGTCGCTGGTGTTGTTGTCCATCATTTGACTGCATGTTTATTTTCTGATTATGGTGTCAGTTAAAAAATAAAATAAAAATAGGAATTAATAAAGAAAAAACAAAAAACTATATTAAAAGCCAGCTTAAAAAATGAAAACAAAAATTAGATGGCAATAAAGTGTTAAGAGCTATTGGCAACATCAAACAAATCGAGATCACTTGCTCCTGTCTGTACTCGTCACTAATTTACACGGTAATCCAGCCAGCATTATCTTTACTCTTTAGCCGATCGCCCCAAGCATCAATTGCTTGATTGGTGGATTCACTAGTTGCAACTAAGTTTTAAAAATCTTTCGTGCTGCTAGCGCTTTTTCCTTCACCGATGCTTGCTTCCACGTTTGCTACCTGCTACACGCACATTTTGCTTCGCGACAGCAACACTAATGTTAACTTCTATGCTCAGGATCAATATTTACTGCATAGGCTTTTTCAGTGCTTCGATGAAGTGCCTTTTGCGTTAGCCAACTTGGATATTTAGGAGGGTGGCTTTCATCAGCTCTATAACACTTAAACTCAGAGGTTACAGTCGGTGCCTTGTCTCCGCCTGTTAGATAGCTGGATATGTTGACTTTCCAGCAAAACTCGCCATCACCATGCTTGTGGCATGCAACTAAACTTGTGCTTGGTATATTTATTCTCACCACACTGATAAGTAGGTCCACGCTTATTATTCATGGGATACATCACATGTTTCAGCCAAGGCCTAATTGATTTATATTCCAGCAGATCAGAAAGTTGCTACCTTTCTTATTCTTGGTTCTCTTCACTATTGCTTTTCATGGTCTTTCTCTTATTTTATGTTAATTAAGAGCTTAGGTCGTGTTTCAGCTGGTAGCATCTCCAGGCTATCTTTACCAGGGAATTTTACCTCTATACTGTTTTTCAGGGAATATCTCCGTTTCAAGTCTTATTGTTCACCATTACCATTGCCGGGAATGACCGCCTCAACGGAGGAGCGCTTTATGGCGCTCACAAAAAAAATACCTCTTTTTAACGGGGACAAGAAAATTGTCACTCTTGGCGCTTGGAAAACTGCTATTTTGAACGCTTTTGACGCCCTCGATATTGAGGATGAGAAAGGGCAATATGCCCTTGCCGTCCTTTGTGTCCATCCGGAGGTTGCAAGCGACTGGAGGGAGCACAAGAGCGACAAGGAAGGGCTTGCAAGCCCCAAGCTGAACGATCTTTTGGAATGGCTCAAGGACATATACGATGATTCTGGCTCTTCTTTCAGCGCCATGAACCTGTTGAAGGTCCTTCAAATCAAGTACGGTGAGGACATCCATACGTTTAACAAGACTTTTGAGGAGCTAGCTCACGACGCCAACGTGGAAGATGGTAAGGAAAATCCTACCATGCTAAACCTTTACATTGGGGCTTTTCCAAGAGATATCCAACGCACATTGCTGAAAGAAGCATGCGAGTCCTATACGGACGCAAAGACTCGCGCCATCAGGGAATGGCGTAGCTATTCTATTGCCAACGGAGACGTAAGGGCAATAAATAAGCCCCAGAATCGCGAATACGAACCCATGGACGTTAACAGCTTGCCATCCAAGCCAAGATATACGCACACTAACAATAACAGAGCTCCTGCAGGTAGAGGCATGCTCAACCTCAACTATATTCCACAAATTGACGGGCCGGACACCAGCATTTTCCAACAAAGGCTGCGCGATGGAGTATGCACTGCCTGTGGGCGCGCTGGCCATAAGGAGGCATACTGCTATAGCGTTGTTGCAAGGGGGCAAAGCAAGACATTGAACAGTACAAACACATCCCAAGTGGCTTGGGAGCAAGAAGAGGCAGAGGTAGATATGTCTGTGTTCTTTAGGGCGTTGTGTGGTAGGTGGGAGTTTGAGCGGGTCATTACGCATGACATGGGACACGATACTCTCCATGCTAGAGGGAGTGCTGTATTTAAAGAAACGGAATCTGGAGTTAACGAGTTGCACTATCGCGAGCAGGGAGTTTTGTCGTGTGGTGGGGGATTGGAATTCCATCGGGAGTATGTGTATCGCTACGTAAGTAGTCAAGGTGTGATCTCTGTGTATTTCGTAGAGAATGGGCGATCTGACAGGTTGTTTCACATGTTGAAGTTTGTGGAAGATGGTGCTAAGAAAGCGAAGGGCACGCATCTTTGTGGTGATGATATGTACAACACGACATATAAGGTGTTTGATGATAGGTTTGAAGTTATTCACGATGTTAGGGGCCCCAGGAAATGTTACACTTCAGTCACAACTTTCAGAAAGATTTAAATGAGTTTTAAAAAATAAAAATAGCCATGGGCAGATATATCCATGGATCTCATAACGCGACTTCCCAGCTCCGGAGAGTACGACTCGATATACGTGGTGGTAGATCGCCTAACAAATATGGCTCATTGCATCCAGACAACAGCCAAGGTCACAGCCGAAGAAGTTGTTGAGTTGTTTGTAGACAATATTTTTAAGCATCACGGACTACCTAGGTCTATTGTATCAGATCGAGATCCCAAGTTCACGTCGACACTTTGGAAGCAGTTGTTCAAGATATTGCAGACAAAACTGAAGATGAGTACCGCCCATCATCCGCAGACAGGCGGGCAAACCGAACGAGTAAACAGAGCCGTCGAAGGCATGCTGCGTGGCTTTGTGAACAAACAGCAGTCGAACTGGCACAGGTATATACCTTTGGCTAAATTCGCATGCAATTCGCACAAGAACTCATCAACGAAGCACTCGTCCTTCTTTATGTATCGTGAATATGAGCCTCTAACGTGAGCAGCGCTTATACTTTCCGACGAAGATCAAATCCTTTCAGCAGCTGGAAGAGCTAGGAAGATTAAAGCCATCCTAGATGAGGCTAAATCATATATCGAACAATCGCAGATGGGGGCCGCAAGATACCATGATATGAAACGAAAGGAAGTGGAGTATAAAAAGGGCGATGTAGTGCTGATCGAAAGAAAGCTAGCAAACCCGAATTATTTGCATTCATCACTACACACTCTTGGAGGCCGATGGGCCGGATCATATAGGGTTATTGGAATGATCGAGCCCAGTGCAGTCAAGATTCAGCTTCCATCAGAAAAACGGATTCACCCTGTAGTATCAATTGCATTCACCAAACCGTACATTCGTGACGAAAGGTTTGTAAGGGAAAGCCAGCATGAGCCGCCGGAAATTCGAGACGATGAATTCGAAGTGGAAAGTATTGTGAACCACAGAGATGCGCAAAAAGGACGAGAGTGCTTGGTAAGATGGAAGGGGTACACTAGCGATAAAGACCTGTGGATCCTGGAAAAAGAATTGTCTAACACAAAGGTGACAGTAAATAAATATCTCGACCTAATTGATTCATATTCCGGCAGATCGAGAAGTTGCTATCTTTCTTATTCTTGGTTTTCTTCATTGTTACTTTTCATAGTCTTTCTCTTATTTTATGTTAATCAAGAGCTTAAGTCATGCTCCAATGATACTATTCAGTGACTGCTATAAATTCTATCTACACATCATTTCTTTGGATGCTCCTTGTAGTATCTGACAACTAGTGCATAAGGATCTTGTCTAATATGAATGCTCTGAAAAATCTGTATTGGTTGCCTCAAGCGTGTGTTTGCTGTCATTTGAAGGTGGCTGCAACACTGGATTAAAGTGTAATGTAGTGTAGTGCGGTGGCTGCTTTTGTATACATGAGGAAATAGTATCTTCTACTTTAAACAAACAATTTAGGAGAACAGAAAAGTATATTCCTCTTTTTGATATTAGTAGTTAAATTTAGACGCACAGTTTTTTACATTCAAAATGGCGAAGTATATTGTGCATGAATATAACGAAAATTAAGTAAACATAGTTTAATAGTTAGCGAGGGGTCATGCAGAAGATGCCTGGCGTTGGGTGGCCGATTCTGCTGTGGCAGATGATAGTCTGATGTTGGCGGTATCGACACCGTCTGGTTGATATTTAAATCGGAGATGGTCTAGGCGGCGTTCAGTTTCGTATGGGGGTGGATTGAAGGATAATTTTCCACTCAACTCTTCGCCCCCCGGATCGAATTGGAACCACTGGTTGGATAACTGCAGCCAGCGTTTCTTGAAGAGATGTGCCTTCTTTTTGGTTGTAAAGGAGTAGTTGAACTCGTGAACGATGCGGCTCATGAGAGTAGACTTCCATCGAATGAACATGGCATCTCCGGTGCGCTTGATGTCGTCTAGGTTGGGTTCTGCATGAGAGTGGTATACTCCTCAGACCCCCAGTCCATGGGTAACGTCAAGATTTGGGATAGTAGCTTTTCATCCGCCAAATCCAAAATTTAGACGCACGGTGTATGTTTACATTTAGTGTTATTTCTCGATCATAATATTTAGGAAAAAACTGTAATTTAGATGGGGATTTAGTTCAGTGGTAGAACGCTCGCTTTGCATGCGAGAGGTCCGGGGATCGATCCCCCGAGTCTCCAGATCTTTTTTGGCTGGCCAGATGTATCTTTTTTATTTGGACATGCTGCGATTAATGTGTGCAAAATCATCGGCTGGAACAAGAGGCTATGGATCATGTTGTTTTAGAGGGTGTGCGTGTGCCGCAGCAGCATTTAAAAAGTAGTAATCTATTTAAAGTTTTATTTTTCAATACCGCAGCACAGAATAACCATGTCACCAGCTTTTCCCCTTCTAAAAGGCTTCTTTAATAAGTATAAAGAAAATTTTTTGACCAGATCCTTAGAATTTCCTTTCTATCTTTTCTCTAGTTCACTTTAAACATTTTTTATTTTTTGTTTCGTTTGCAGCATTCAAAGGTACGCGATTACTGCTCATCAGCAGCACTGGTGGAGATAGAATGTATTCCTTATTTACCAACCCCTTTTACTATTTAGGCTAATTACTGGACTGGTCCTTTCTTATAGTTACTGAGATATAATGAGCGAAGCTGACGGTGCTGACGTTGAGTTTTCATGGAAGACCTTTATTCAGGCGCTATCGAGCGACATTTCAACAACAAGTGTTAATGCAAGGCGCACACTGCTAAAGGATAAACTTCAGCCGACTATTTCTGCCTATCCATTAGGAGATAGAGATCTTTTTGAGCTTCTTGTCGTGCTTAGATCCACCATTGGTCTGTATGTCGATAAAGCATCCAGATGCGCTGTGCTTGACGTGCTAAGAGGACTTAGTGCGAAGAGATCTGATGTCTTTGTCAAGGCCATCGTCGCTGTCTTGGATCCTGTGATTGAGAGCGCACAGCCCAAGAAGATTGTTCATCCTAGCGCAATCCCAACGACGGTGGCCTATAGATACGCTTTGCTCTCGTGGGTCGATCTTGCCATGACTGTTCCTGTCATCCAGCTGAATGCGGACGCTGCTGCTTTGCTTGCTGATGGCGCATGGAAAAAGCTGGTGCTGATGGCTTCTCGGCTCCTATGGGGCATTGCACCATCAGCTCCAAACACGCACAGCACAAAAGCGCACTCTATTTCCAGCAGTGCTTATCGTGATGTCTGGCGTACTCTGCGTGCATGTCCTGAAATGCTTGAGCCAATGCTAACTGTTCTGACCGGGGAGACCAACAACCACGAGGTTTCTGTGCTTATCGGCAACGTTGTTAGCACCGCTGCACGCTTGCAAAAGGACACAATGTTGCAGCAGATCGCTCTTTTCAAGGATGCTATTGCTAGCTATATTGATCGCGTGATTGTCAACTCCAAGGTGCCAATTTCTTATTCGAGCGTGGCAGATCTGAAATATTTCATTCAGCTATTTGTTGGTAGCGACTTTGAAGATCTTTTCAAACCATCGATCTCAAAGGTGCTAATCCGTTCGCCCGAGGTTGCTCTGCCTACATGCTTGTGGTTGCTTGAAACTCTTGACAAGAAGGAAATTGATATGGCCGAGCTTTATCTAGATATATTTGCTGATCAAATCGCATCAAACCTGCTCAAGAGCACTAATGCCGGCGTGCGCCAATCTGCTGCTGATCTGTTTAAATATCTAGCAAACACACCGCAAACCAACGAAGCAGCAACCAAGGCCGCAGAAGTCGTGACAGAGCCTCTTATACGCGGACGTTATGCGCAACCCGAGCATAGAGTTCTGTTTTACAATTTGCTAGGCAAAGTGCATGCTGGTGCAGATAACGGATGGGCTTCTGCTGTTGTTATTCTCGGGGCACTGCTGAAAATGACAACAAAGGAGACTCAGGAGGCTCCTGTTAATGCGTTGTTTTCTGCTATTGGCCAACATGTCGGTATTATTATCAACCATTTGGCCTCTGTTGATAACAATTCTGCCAGCGGCTACAAGGAATGTGAAGAGGCGCTTAAAGCATTTTCTGAGGCAGCGCAAAAGGGCTTGGTGCTTCCAGAACGATCGGCAGCTGCAAGACATGGTTGGGCAGCCGACGCGATAGGCGAGCCACTATGGAATTCTGACGCAGCCATTGCCGAAAGCACTAAGCACCCATGGATGGCTGCATATATCCATCCACTATTAAAAATTTTAGTCAAGTCAACTGGAAAGGCTACTGCAAGCCCCTTGACAACAAGCGGTGGTGTCCTTGATGCACATGTTGGGCTTGCTCTAACCCTACGTACATCGGAGACCGGGAAGGTTCCTGATGTGGACGCTAAAGAGCTAGTTGACTTGGTGATAAACACAGAAAAATCACTGGTTCTGTGGGACAAAGTGTACCACAAGTGTGTTGGGCTGAGAGAGAGCGCATGGATTTTGCGCAGTGCCAGTATGCTTTATGCTTACGGCTGCGACGACCAGCGCTTGGCTAGTCTATTGCTTTGGATCATCTGCCATTTGCCGGACCCCGATCGCCAGATTGCACGCTTTGCTATCAGTACAATTTCTTCTATGAGCCAAGCTAACCCATCAAGACTGTGGGCTCTGGTTGAGTCATGCTTGTTTGAAGAGATGTCTGCGTCTCTTGAATCCAGCGAGAGTAATATTTACAAATGGCTGGATATCCTCAATGCAGCAACTTCGGGCATTTCTAGCAAAGAGATCAATGCTCAAACAAAGATAAGGCTGCTTGTTTCTATGGCTTTGGTTGCCCATCATCCTGCGATATTACGCGAATCTAGAAGGGACAGCTTTTGGATTGCACTGATTCAGCGTGCAGGCATCGATCCAGGCGAGCTTTGCCATGACAATCTATCTGCTCTAAAGCAGTGTGTACGCCAGTCGTTGCTCGACAGTGGAAACTCGTCAAAGGTAAATTCTGCCACCAACCTCGTTAAGGACCTTGTTTTCATTGGCGGTGAGAGTGTGGCTCTACGGCTGTTAGAGTTTGCTTATAGCGATATTGATCCAGTAGAGATATCCAGCATTACTTGCGAAGAGATAGCTGTGTGGAGAACGCCAGTCGGTCAGCTTTATTTCGACCCGATTGAGGCGAAGAAGCGCACACAGGGACTCCCCAAGTCTGGCAAAAGCAAAGATGACGTGTGGGCAGAGCAGTTACAGGAGGAGATTGCACGCAAAAAGAACATTGCACGCAAACTGACTAAAGAAGAGTATGAGCTTGTTGACAAGCAAAAAGCAAAGGAGGATGCTATGCGAAAGCGCGTCGAGCATGTGCATAGTGGGTTGCACCGTGGACTGACACTTATTCGAGCCGTGGTCTGCGGGAGTGCCAGCGTAGCCAGTGCCAGTATGCTTGTACTAGTGCGTATTGTTATTGAGCGTGCGATCATTGGCGGAGCAAAAATCAGCGAAGAGCTGGCTGGTCCAGAGATCCTGGAGACCCTTCTTGCCATGAGCAAAGTTGCAGACGGCCTGGAAGACGCTTTGCGGATTCCAATTACCATGGGACTATTGCGTGCGCGCGGATTTGAAAGCATTGTTCCACGAAACTGGAAGCAAGAGTCAATGGAAAACTTGGCTACTCGACTCTACTACCGCCTGCGTATTAGCTGTGAAAGTTCACCGCTTTCGCCTGCTGGATTCAACTTCCTGCTTCCGTTTATGCAAATCACTGCTGAAATCGGAGGCTGGGGTCAAAAAACCAGAAAGGGTATTGAAGAGCATGACGAGTATGCTCAGCTGGACAACGCATCTGAGCAGCTTGTTATGATTGTTTCAATATTGTCTTTCCACGCGCACTTTGGAAACGTCGAAGAGATGCCTCGTAAAGAGATGCTTGAGTTAATGGTTCTCTTGATGTCTACGCAGCCTGTTCTGCTTTCTAGCAGTCGCGATAGCATGATCAAGATGGCAGAAGAGATGGAAGGCACAGATACTCCTTTGGAGCGTGACGCACTTTTGGACGGACTAGTGCAGCCTGACAGTGCAGTGCGCAATGCTTGTCTAGCCGCACTTGACTTTGCAGATCTTACTGAACTTGACTATTCGGCCAAGCTTTGGCTCAATGCAGGCGGCAAGAATACTGATGCTGTAGCGCTTCAACAAAATGCCCAACTTTCCTTGTCGCTGTGGTCAGATAATGGAATGGAAATACTCCCAGGACTTATTTCCGATGTTATTCTATTTCTGAACAACAAGTCCAGCGAGATTAGGGATTGTGGTGCTCGTTCTATTGCTTTGGCAATCCACGAAGCACTGGAGCTTATTGAACAGGGCGAAGAGGAATCTGAAATGACCATAGATGACGTACAGCGCATGACCGACATTGCTATTAACGAGCTTTTGGCTGCCTATCGTAAATGGTATATTTCTCTGGACCCAGAGTATGATGAGTTTGGCATAATCGTTCCAGGCACCCAGAATCGCGTTGATATTGCCGAGGCTCGTGTAGCTGTTGCAGATGCCCTGTATCACTTGGTGCCACTTTTGACGACTTCTGCCCAAGTCAAATCCGTGATTCAGTTCCTTGTTGGCGATCGTGTTTTAGGTGAGCGTGCCGAATCCGTGCGTACGCATATGCTGTCGGCCGGTGCTCGAGCAGTAACCGAACATGGCTCTAAGTGGTCAAGTGAGCTAATGCCAATCCTTGAACAATTTCTTTTGGAAAAGGATGAAGGAACAGCCTCTTACGACTATATTCGCGAAGGCGTTGTTGTTCTGCTTGGACGCCTTGCACAGCATTTACCTAGCAGCGAGGATGCCCGCGTGGCTGATGCGGTCGATCAGCTAATTGTGACGTTGTCCACACCCTCAGAGTCGGTCCAGAGTGCTGTTAGCGAGTGTCTACCTCCTCTGTCCAAGCGTATCAGCGAAGAGAAATTCGAAGCTATCATCGAGCAGATCATGGATACTATTCTTAATTCAGAAAAATACTCGCAGCGTCGCGGCGGCGCATATGGCCTTGCAGGCATGATCAAGGGTCGTGGTCTGGCTGCACTTAAAAAGTTCAAGATTGTTGATCAGCTGCGAGCAGCATGCGAAAACAAAAAAGCGTACCAACAGCGCCAAGGCGCTTTGTTTGCCTACGAGACATTGTCTGGGACCATGGGGCGGCTGTTTGAGCCTTACATTATCCAGTTTATCCCCGTGCTTC